CCCAATGTCCATCTGCTACCTTAATACTAAACCTATAAATACATGTACATAGCTCTATTTCCCCATCATCATATATAAATATATTTACATATTTACATAGCTGTATTTAGATTTCTATAAATCCCCTTTGCCTCCTAGTGTTTTCCTCTATTTTCTTTTATTTTCCTCTTGTCCCACCATCATGTTCAGTTGGGTTTCAGTAATTCCTCTTCATTTGGGTTTCAGTAATTCCTCTCTGTTGCATTGCCCTTGATCAAGCCCTACCAGGCCTCCTATACCCTCCTCAGCATTGATTTTAGATCACTTGTTGTTCTCTTGTCCCTGGGGTTTGTTAACACCCACTTCCTTTCCCCCACGTCCCCTCTCCCATGTCCCCCTGGAACCATTAGTCCTATTGTTTTCTCCTCCAGATTGTTCATCCCACATGTCTTATCTAGATAGACATGCAGAGATAATAATATGGACAAAAAACAAGGCAGAGCAAACAAAGCAACAAAACAACAACAATAACAACAACAAAAACCAGAACAAAAAAATAGAAAAGCCTATAAATAGTGCAAGGTCTGTTTGTTGACCTTTAGGAGTGTTTTCTGGTTAAGTCTGATGGGGTGCCATGCCCTGGCCCCAAAGTCTATTTTTGGTATTCCCCGGGGACTTTGTTGTGCTGCTTCCCTTGCTGTTCTGTTGCACACTCTTAGTGTTTCGCCTCAGTGTGGTGGGGTCAGACCAGGCTCAATTCCTGCACTGTGTCTCCAGTGTTGTCCCCATAGTGCTATGGGTCAGTGAGGGATGTCGTGTCTCATGGTGGAGCTGGCCCTTCTCTGGGCATCAGCTGTTCTGAGCAGTAATATCGTCCTCAGGGCTTGGTGGGCCAGGATGTGCTCCACTCTCTCTTCCTCTCCCTTCGTTTGCTCCTGTGTGCTCTGATCAGACATGTCCCTCTCCCTGAGCTGTAGCTTCAGTGCTGTCCCCTGAAGTGAATTCTTCTGGGGGGCAGGGGGCTGTCCGCATAGTTGGGATTGGGCAAGAAAGTGTTTTTCATGTTCTGTGGAAGCAGAGTCAGGAAACCAAACAAGAGGTTGCATTGAACAAATCTGCAGCGCAAAGACCTCCTTACAGGCTTAAAAAGCAAACGTGGCATCTGATAACCGAGGGGCATCTGACTCAAACCCCAGCTGTTTCCGTCTCCCCATGCGTGCAAAAGTTGGATCATGAATGAGAAAGGAGGACCGAAGATCATTGATGTGTTTGAAAATAATCAATGTTAGAAAAGAATATTGAATATACTGTAGAGTTCCAGAAGGAAAGGGAAATCAGTCTTAGAAATAACAGAGCTAAAATTCTCCTGAGAAGCAATGATGTTGATACTTGGACTGGCTTACGCTGGACACAGGATCAGAAATGACCAGCCATTAGAAAAGAACTTCATGGCTGGTAGAAGTGAGGAGTGAAGGAGCCCCTCAATGACATGCACGGACACAACAGCAGCACAGTGACCTCAGACATGCCAATGGTCATGAGATGGCACAGGACCGAACACGTTTAAGTTGATTATACAAAAGGACACTGTGAGTCAGAGCTGACTCAACAGTAACTACCAACAACGACTCAGTAATAATTCCATAAGACAGGGATCCCCGAATGATAGTCGAACATGATCGTGGGACAAGAGGAAAGCAGAAGAAAATAGAGGAAAGAACTAGGAGACATAGGACATTTATAGCAGTGTAAATATTGGCAGGTACACCTGTAAATATATTAATATATAACGATAGGGATATAAGTCTATGTACATATATTTATATGTTACGTATCAAGGTAGCAGATGGACATTAGACCTCTGCTCAAGTACTTTCTCCACGCAAGAACACTTTGTTCTACCAACCTGTCATTCTGCGATGCTCACCTTTCCAACAGAATCGTTGAAGACAAAATGGGTGCGTAAGCAAATGTGGTGAAGAAAGCTGATGGTGATGGAGAGACGCTGATGGAGATGGGGTGGAAAGGGAGAACCAGTTACAGGGATCTACATATAACCTCCTCCCTGGGGGACGGGTGACAGAAAAGTGGGTGAAGGGAGACATCAGACAGGGCA